GCTTTCAGACTTGGCTACATCAAAACCACATTTTGACATGTTGGGATGTTCACAACATTGAGCCCTTCACTTCCTCAGTTAAGCCTTGTGATGGGATGCAAGTACAGTTGTAGCTCAAATAATAGAGCCTCCTTCCTGCCCACTTTTCTTCCTTGTCCTTCATTCCAGGGAATGAAACTTATGACACTGCAAATCATCATCTTCTCCTGAGAAAAACTTACAATATCACAAAGAACTACAACCTCACCCATTTCATAGGAAATCTTCTACGAAACAGGAGCTTTTTTGTTGAATTGCAGGGCCAGAGAAGCAGATGGTGAAAGAAAACAGAAGAACGGCCTGCTTCAGGGGAGCGTGCTTGCTCCATCAATGTTTAACATTTACACAAATGATCAAGCCACTGCCAGAAGGGACAGACAATGCTGACGATTGTGCTATCAAAGCTCAAGCAGGGAGCTTTGAAATGGTTGAACAGAAGCTCTATGAAGTTTAGGTGTTCTTACTGCCTATTATAGGGAAAACCAGCAGATTCCTAATCCATCTAAAACACAGATGTGTGCTTCTTATCTTAAAAACAGACAAGCATCTCGAGCTCTGAGGATTACCTGGGAAGGAATCCCACTGGAACCTTGCAGCCAAATATCTGGGGGTTACCCTGGACCGTGCTCTGACCTACAAGAAGCACTGCTTGAATATTAAAATATTAAAATAAATATAGCATCCCTACAGCGTGGTTTATCACTTATTGCAGGAGGTCCTGCAATAAGTGAGGAAACACTGTATTCCTAACACATCAGAGGTAACAGGTTATTCAGTCTAACAACTGAATTGCCTTGAATAATTGTATCTGGTTGTATACCACAAGAGATGAGTCTACTCTCAAGGACTTTTTGGCTCTTCTCTGAAAGGTCATACTTTTCTTTTATGATCTCCAAACGGTGTTTTTTCCAAAAGGTTATGAATGCCATTTTCCAAAAAGCTTGGAGAAAAGAAGGTTGAGGGAAAGAGACATGAGAGCCATATTTTAATATCGGAAAGGATGTCACATTGAGGGAGGAGACACAATGGAGCAGTGGATTCAAATGGCAACAAAAGAGATTCAACGTAACGATTAGGAAGAGCTCCCAAAGGACAAGAGGCTGGGACTGATGGAGGCTTTGCCCAGCTTCGCTTCCCAGGGCTAAAGCTTCCCTCTTCCTTGAGAGAGGAGGTCTTTCCTTTCCTGCTGGGATATCACCCATGGGGACCTTCCCATCTCTAGAAATACCCCTTCCCTCCTCCTGCTCCTCCCAAATGCTGTCCCTTACCTCTTTCCTTTCTTTCTCCCCCTCCTTTGGTGTTCTCCTCCCAAATATGGCAAAGGCGGAAGCGTTTGCCAAAGAAGCCTTTCTGGGCAGCTGAGCTTTTCTCTGGCTAAAAGTCCCCTCCTTCCCTCTTTCTTAACTCTTTCATCTCCTCAATGCCCTCCTCCCTCCCCAGGCAAGGATTCCTCCTGGCATCCCATAATAGTCCCCCTTCACTGGAAATCAGCAAAAAGGAGACACGTGCCAAGAGGAAGAAGGAAAACCTCAAGCAAACCCTTGCCTGGACGGTTTTCCATCTGGAAATACATGTTGTCATTGTGAAGGATCATGCGGAATCAGAATATTTGTTTGTTTATACTTTGGTTTTATTTTGCTGTAATATGATGTCTGGGTTTGGCCCCATGTAAACAGCTCCGAGTCCTCACTGGGGGGATGGTGGCGGGGTATAAATAAAGTTTATTATTTATTTATTTATGTCATTTTTATCCCGCCCATTTCAGCCCAAAGGTGACTCAGGGTGACATACAGACCAGCAACAATTAGATGCCATATATATCTACATACATACATACATCAGTTAAAAGCAATTAAATCACATCATAGATACATATAAAAAACATAGAAGCAACAAAAACTATAAGACCCTATAAAAATAATGTCTTCCAGTTCAATTCCTCATCCGTTTACATCGTCGTAGCCATTCCGTGTTCATATTCCAATTTGACTTTATCTGGTCACGCTGAAATTCCAAATGCTTGCTCAAAGAGCCAGGTTTTCACTTTTCCAAAAGGTCAGGAGGGAGGAGACTGGTCTAATATCCCTGAGCAGGGAGTTCCACAGCTGAGGGGCCACTACTGAGAAGGCCCTATCTCTCGTCCCCACCAGATGCACCTGTGAGGCAGGTGGGATCAAGAGCTGGGCCTCCTCAGATGATCTTAACTTCCTAAAAGGTTCATAGGGAGAAAAGTGATTGGATAGATAAGCTGCGTCTTCACAGTCACTTATGGCCCCACTGAATCAACCAGGGCCAGCTAGCACCTCCCAACAAAGGATTCCCCCAGGTAGCAACTAGCCAGGCCTTGAAACTGAAACTACAACCTTGAAACTGCAAGGTTTCAACACAACTTTGAAACTGCAAGGCCATTTGCATTTAAAGGCCTTGCAGTTTCAAGATCTGGCTGGTTGCTGCCTGGGGGAATCCTTTATTGGGGGGGAGGGTGTTAGCGGGCCCTGATTGATTTAGTGGGTCCATAAGTGACTATGAATACCTATTCTGAATCCACATTCACAATGCAAACATGTATTTCCAGATGGAAAACCGAGTGATAGTATGATCCAGACGCTCCGAGTGTTACGCATATTCTGCAACGACGGTTGTGAATAAGGGAAGGGGAGAGCAGCACACTGAGGGTGGGAATATACTTTGTAGTTGCAGGTGACTATGGGGAATACCATTGCTTTAACTATGCGGATCTTCGTTGCCAGTGTGCTGTCTCTACTCTTCACTATTTTATCGAGATTGGTCACTGCTCTCATCCCAAGAAGTGTCTCCTGATTTCCTGGCTGCAGTCTGCGTCTGCAGTAATCCGCATTTGATGGCCTGACAGTTTTTAGGTGTGCCTTGTTACTGCCTGGGGGAATTCATTACTGAGAGGTGATTAGCTGTTCCTGACGTCAACCAAAGAAGTTAGCCATAGCAGAGCACCTGATGAACCAACCTGGACATAACATATTATTTGAGAACACAGAAATGCTGGACCACTCCAACAACTACCATGTCAGGCTACACAGAAAAGCGATTGAAATCCATAAGCATCAAAAAGGAAGAAACCATGAAAATGAACAAAATCTGACTGCCAGTATTTAAAAACTCTAAAATTATAAAGGTTAATAAAGAACAAAACTCAAACACGGGGGAACTCCTGACAAGAAACAATCAGGGACAACTAATCACCTCTCAACAGAGAATTCCCCCAGGCAGTAACGAGCTACATCTTAAAACTGTCAGAGAAAGGTTGATTAGAGAAAGGCTGCCACACACTTTCACTGGGATGATGGCTGTGCATTTTATGTTGTTTCTTCTCTCAGACAATAATGCTCCCAAAGCACTTCTGCTCCTCCATAAGACCTTGTGGGGGTGGGCAGGGTGGGAGAAGGTGACCAAGCAGGAGGGAAATCCCATTCTTCCCCCATCCTGCTTTGGCCAGACCTCACCTGGGGATCCAACCTGGGACCAATTCCTTGGCACCAGTGTTCACATTATGAGACATGGACCACTGCACTGGCCCAATTTATTTAGAGTGCTGCTCTGATAGATGGCAAAGATGGCAAAAGGTGGAGTGATGTGTATGGTCTACCCGAACTGAGCAGGCAAACAGAAGGCTACCCACACCAGTCCCACCATCCCATTTCAGTCCTCATTGAAGCCATTCAGTCCAACCCCATTTCAGCCCTCCTGACAGATGGCTATTCAGTCCTTGCTTGAAAAGCTACAGAGAAGACACCCAAGGATGCATATTCCACAGCTCTTAATATAAAAACAATTATTTATTTATTCATTTATTTATTTCCTTCATTTATATACCACTTTTCTCAGCCCTCAGGCAACTCAAAGCGGTTAACAACAGCAAAATTCAATGCAAAAGCATCACATGTTTAGATCAGTGGTTCCCAACCTTTTCTGCCCAGGAACCACTCTCCAACATTAGTACCAAAAGAGTTATGAATAATTTTTGGTCAACTTTCAGTTTGATTATTTGGGGTGCCGATTCAGAAAATTGCAGTGGATAGAGACCATATCAGCTCTAGTTTTTGATACGGAACATATGTCATGGTCAGCAACAGGGAAGGAGTGGCAGCCGTTGCAAAAGTAGCAGAAGTAAAATAAATAACATTAGATGAAGAGGAAGGAGGTTCGTGGACCAGATTTTCATCCTCACGGCCCACTGGTGGCCCATGGCCCACAGGTTAAGAACCACTGGTTTACATGGAATCCATTTTCCTACAATGCCTCCTACTGGCACCTTTTCCTTGCTCCTCCCATGTCCCCTCTCCTTTTCATTGAGTTAGAGCAGTGCTTCTCAACCTTGGGTCCCCAGATGTTTTTGGCCTACAACTCCCAGAAATCCCAGCCAGTTTACCAGCTGTTAGGATTTCTGGGAATTGTAGGCCAAAAACATCTGGGGACCCCAGGTTGAGAACCACTGACTTAGAGGGTCAAGGGAGAGAGGTGGCTGGAAGGCTATGCCTCCTTAGCTAGCTAGAGAGACATCTGTGTGACCCTCACTCTTTGCTTGCTTGCCACTGGGTCTTTATAGAAGGGAAAGTGACAATGTCAGGGAGGAGTGCTGGAAGGGACTGGTCACAACCCCCAGATTTTGAGTCTATTTGAAATAAGCCATAAATCACATGTTTTTAAAACTATAAACAAAAGGTTTTCATGATGTTTGTGTTCTCATACACTTTATTATAGCAATTTATGTATGTGCATATTTATATAGGGTTAATTTAACCTCTAGTTTGTGAGTAAAAATGAATTAATGTATCACAAAAAATACATATCTGAAAAATGTCTCACTCCATGAAATGTTTCAGAAGCTCTGTCTTAGAGAGTCTCTTTGGCATCAAATACCATCATTCCCTTCAATGTGAGTTCTAGATGAATGTAGGCCTTCACTCTTAGTGAAGTGTATAGAGTTACTCCCCAGTATGGGTTCCTGCATGTGAATGTAAACTTTGATTTGAAATGAAACTTTTTCCACACTCCATGCATGTATAGGATTTCTCCCCGGCGTGAGTTCTATGATGTCTATGGAGATGTGAATTCTGACTGAAGCTCATTCCACACTCCAGGCATGTAAAAGGTTTCTCCCCAGTGTGGGTTCGATGATGTGAATATAGATGTCCACTGTCACTGAAGCTCTTTCCACACTCCAGGCAAGTAAATGGTTTCTCCCCAGTGTGAATTCTGTGATGTCTATGTAGATGTGAATTCTGACTGAAGCTCATTCCACACTCCAGGCATGTATATGGTTTCTCCCCAGTGTGTGTTCTATGATGTGAATGTAGATGTGAATTCTGACTGAAGCTCATGCCACATTCCAGGCACATATAAGATTTCTCCCCAGTGTGAGTTTTGTGATGTGAATGTAGACTTGCAGTGTGAGTGAAGCTCTTTCCACATTCCCAGCACATATACGGTTTCTCCCCAGTGTGAGTTCTAAGATGTGAATGCAAATGTGAATTCTGACTGAAGCTCAATCCACATTCCAGGCATGTATATGGTTTCTCCCCAGTATGAGTTCTAAGATGTGAATGCAGATGTGAATTCTGACTGAAACTCATTCCACACTCCATGCATGTATAGGGTTTTTCCCCAGTGTGGATCTTGTGGTGTGAACGTAGACCTGCAGTGTGAGTGAAGCTCTTTCCACACTCAAGACATTTATAAGGTTTCTCCCCAGTGTGAGTTCTGTGATGCTTCTGTAGGGTTCCACTCTCATTGAAGCTTTTTCCACACTCCATGCATGTATAGGGTTTCTCCCCAGTGTGAGTTCTTTCATGTGAATGTAGACTTTGACTTGAAGTGAAGCTCTTTCCACACTCTGGGCATGTATAGGGTTTCTCCCCAGTGTGAGTTCTGTGATGTCTATGGAGATGTGAATTTTGACTGAAGCTCATGCCACACTCCAGGCACCTATAAGGTTTCTCCCCAGTGTGAGTTCTTTGATGTGAATGCAGACTTGCAGTGTGAGTGAAGCTCCTTCCACATTCCAGGCATTTATAGGGTTTTGCTCCAGTGTGCGTTCTTTGATGTGATTGTAGACTTCCACTCTCAGAAAAGCCTTTTCCACACTCCAGGCATGTATAGGGTTTTTCCCCAGTGTGTATCCTTTGATGTTTATGCAGATGTCCACTGTCAGTGAAGCTCTTTCCACACTCGATGCATTTATAGGGTTTTTCTCCAGTATGACTTCTTTGATGTCTATGTAGGTTTCCACTCTCGGCAAAGCTCTTTCCACACTCCAGGCATGTATAGAGTTTCTCTCCAGTGTGAGTTTTTTGATGTTTGTGTAGATTTCCACTCTGAGTGAACCTCTTTCCGCACTCTGGACATTTATAGGGTTTCTCCCCAGTGTGACTTCTTTGATGTTTATGTAGGTTTCCACTCCGAGTGAAGCTCATTCCACACTCCAGACATACATAGGGTTTATCCCCAATGTGAGTCCTTTGGTGCAAATATAGAGTTCCACGCTGAGTGAAGCTCATGCCACACTCACACTGGGGAGAAACCCTATTCATGCCTGGAGTGTGGCATGAGCTTCACTCAGCGTGGAACTCTATATTTGCACCAAAGGACTCACATTGGGGATAAACCCTATGTATGTCTGGAGTGTGGAATGAGCTTCACTCGGAGTGGAAACCTACATAAACATCAAAGAAGTCACACTGGGGAGAAACCCTATTCCCCAATGTGAGTCCTTTGGTGCAAATATAGAGTTCCACGCTGAGTGAAGCTCATGCCACACTCCAGGCATGAATAGGGTTTCTCCCCAGTGTGAGTTCTTTGATGTGATTGCAGACTTCCTTTTTGAGTGAAACTCTTTCCACATTCCTCGCATTTATAGGGTCTCTCGCCAGTGTGAGTTCGTTCATGTACCTTCAGATTTCCTCGCTGAGTGAAGCTCTTTCCACATTCAGTGCATTTATATGCTATCTCCTCCATATTGACAATGATATGTTTGCTTAATTGCACAATGGATATGACTCTTTTCCCCTTTCTTATCTGCAAGTGAGGTAAGTATACAGCAAAATTAGCATTTTGGGACAATTTCTTCTTCCTATATTTTTCATTTCCTTATTGCATTTCAAACTCCTCAATATCCACTGCATGTCAGTGTTTTTCATCTCATCACAATTGTCATTTCCTTATCCAGGAAAGAAGCAAAAGAACAGGCACAAAACCCAAATCTCTTGTTTACAGTGTTCCCTTACTTATCACGGAGTTACGTTCCAGGACTACCCACAATAAGTGAAAAACCGCGATGTTAAGATGCTATACTGCAGATGTCCTCAAACTTTTTAAGCAGAGGGCCAGGTCACAGTCCCTCAAACTGTTGGAGGGCCGATTATAATTTGAAAAAAAACATGAATGAATTCCTATGCACACTGCACATATCTTATTTGTAGTGCAAAAAACACATTAAAAACAATACAATAATTAAATGAAGAACAATTTTAACAAATATAAACTATTAGTATTTCAATGAAGTGGGGGCCTGATTTTGGCTGATGAGATAGGTTATTGTTGTTGTGTGCTTTCAAGTCGTTTCAGACATAGGTTTGATATCGAGCTCTTTTGGGGGGCTTCTCCCAGTGAAGGAGATCCCTGGAGACCGCTAAAGGGGTCCCTGACCTTGGTGAGCGGCCAGCAGGAGCCAATCCAAAGCGCGAAGTATTAGCAATCAATCTCACCAGAGGCTGAAGAGGTATCAGTGACCGAAGCGTTTATTTCTGCGATTCAGCTGAAAAGGATGCGTTACAGGGATATTTCCACCATAAGCATACATTCATAGGAGTTACAGGCATTTTTATATTGTCAGAACAAAGGAAAAACAGTTTGAAAATCCCGCCCACCCTCCGTCAGCTGGCTTCGTCCTGATTGGTTGTCCCTGGAACAGCTGGGAGGAGGCCGGGCCGTATGTCCCGCCTTCCCTCCAATCGCCGGGCGCTGTTGTCTCCAGGGGGCCAATCGGAGCCTTTCTAGCGCTTCTGAGGATGGTCCAATCAGCGACCAGGAGGTGGGACCTGGTTTGACAGCTCATAGGGAGCGGAGTGCCTGGGAGGTGTCCGCCAGCCGATTGAGAACTTTTGTTCTAAGCTGTGGGGTGGCAGACGGAAGAAACAAAGGATTTCCTGATTTCTGATTACAGATGTGTATAGGCATGAAAAGGGGCTATTGGTGGTATTCGGATCTCAAACTCTGTGGACAAGGGGACCCTTAATCACAAAGGAGCTTACACAAATACCATGGGTTGGGTTAATCAATCCTTCTTTCCAGGTTTCGGTTGACTTATCTCTGGCCCATTGTCTGAACTCTGAAAATGTGCCCGGAGATAGGATCAACCCCGGCCCATGCAAAATGTTAATATGAATGGATTTACTTTTGAGGAAATGAGGTTTCCTCCTGACAATAACCTCAGGTCACATTCTTTTCTGGGGCAAGGTTCAGAGGGAGGAAAGGTGGGAGGGGGAGAGAGTCAGGGTGCATCTTATGTGATAGATATCAATTATAAACATTTTCTCATGCTTCATACATTTCATACATTTCATTTCTGCCAGAATTATGATCTCCTTGGCGAAGGTGCACACGCAGGCGGAGGCTGTTCCTGCCCAGGGGCCTGGTTCGGAGTCCGTGGAGAAGGTCCAAGACGATGGGGCATCAAGTCAATAAGTAAAGGCAAAAGAATCTGTAAGGGGACTTCCAGGCGGAGGGGTGTGGGGCAATGTCCTTCGGAAAACTACATTTCCCTGATCAAGGGCCAGGGTCCAGTGCACAAGCCAGAGAATTCACAAAGAAGAAACAGGAACCCAGTTATGTGTGCTGGGTCAGGAAGCAACAGAATCCATTGTCCAGCCCTTGGCGAACTACAAATACTTGGGGGAAAAAGATGCTCCGCATCAATTCCTCCCTTCGAGGCTGGAAAGGGCCGGGTAAATGACCTTGGAGGGCCGTATCCGGCCTCCAGGCCTTAGTTTGAGGACCCCTGCTATACTGTATATGTACAGTATAGCTCCACCCACTCCTCTCTCCCCTCCCTCCCTCTCTCTTCCTCTCCTCTTTCCCCTCCCTCCTTCCATCCTCCTTTTGCCGGAGCCACTCTTCTCTTTCCCTCCCTGCTTCCCCACAGGTGTGGGGTTCTCACCCGGTTGCCTGAGGAAGAAGCCCCAGTGGAAGATGTCTTGGTGGCCCTCTCCGGGCTCTTTGCCAGCCACACACACGCCTGTCTGTGAGTAACTCTGCAACTCAAGTCTGTGGCAGCATCTATGCTGGAGAAACAACATACTTTGATAATGGGTATACAGTGTTTCCCCGCTACTTGTATTTTAAATTCTTTTTAAAACAAAACACGAAACAGTGAGTCCGCCTGAAGCGAACCGCGAAACAGCGAGGGAACACTGTACCAACAAAAATGCTGCCCCCCCCCCCCCCAAATGCTGATAATGGAAATATCAAGGTTTTTGGCTACTGTTTACAGATTAAATAGACTGTTAATGACTCTTTAAGTGTTAACCATAGCTAAGCCAAAACTACACTGTGGGCCTAGACAACTGCTCCTCTGGAGGAAGAGGAGGTCTGTGCTAGTCAGAGCTGAATCGGGTCTGGAGAACAAGCCCTATGAGGAGCGATTTAAAAAGGTAGCCATGTTTAGCCTGCATAAGAGAAGGCTGAGAGGCAGCATGATGTGGGCCCTATATCAAGATGTGAGGGGAAGTCATAGGGAGAAGGGAGCAGGCTTGTTTTCTGCTGCCCTGGAGACTAAGACGTGGAACAATGGCTTTAAACTACAGGAAAGGAGATTCCATCTGAACATTAAGAAGTACTTCCTAATTGTGACAACTGTTCAGCAATCAAAAACCAAAGCCAAAACCAAGGTCAGAATAACATCTGTTATAGAATTCCAATATGCTGATGATAACATCACCTGTGCTGCATTCAGAAGAAGACCTACAAGCCACTCTAAACACCTTCGCAGAAGCATACGAGAAGCTCGGCCTGTCATTGAACATCGAGAAAACCAAAGTGCTCTTCCAGCAGTCACCAGCCAACCCCTCTCCAATGCCAGAAATACAGCTTATTGGAAAATGTGGACCATTTCAGCTACCTTGGCAGCCACCTTGTCACAAAAGTCAACATTTACACTGAAATACAACACTGCCTGAGCTCTGCAAGGGCAGCATTTTTCTACATGAAGCACAGACTGTTTGAATACCGGGACATTCGTAGGGAGACCAAGGTGCTTATTTGTAAAGCTATTGTCCTCTCAACCCTGTTATACGCCTGCGAAACGTGGACTGTCTACAGATGTCACACTCAACTCCTGGAAGGATTCCATCAGCGTTGTCTCCGAAAAATCCTGCAAATCTTTTAGGAAGATAGGCAGACAAATGTCAGCATGCTGAAAGAAGCAAAGACCACCAGCATTGAAGCAATGCTCCTCCGTCATCAACTGTGCTGGACTGGCCATGTCAAGTGCCCAGTCGTGGTCTCCCAAAGCAGTTACTCAAGAACGGGAAATGTAATGTTGGAGGACAGGAAAAGAGATTGAAAAATGGGCTTAAAACCAACCTTAAAACTTTTTTTGTCATGTCAGGAGCGACCTGAGAACCAAGTCGCTTCTGGTGTGAGAGAATTGGCCGTCTGCAAGGACGTTGCCCAGGGGACGCCCGGATGATTTGATGTTTTATCATCCTTGTGGGAGGCTTCTCTCATGTCCCCGCATGTTAAGGGCTGAAAAATGCGGTATAGAAATAAATCAAATAAATAATAAATGAGGAGCTGGAGCTGATAGAGGTAGCTCATCCGCCCCTCCCCGGATTCGAACCTGTGACCTGTCCGTCTTCAGTCCTGCCGGCAAAGGGGTTTAACCCACTTAAAAACTGTGGCATAGACAGAGAACTGGGAAGCCCTGGCCCTTGAGTGCTGTAGCTGGAGGTGAGCTGTGACCAGCAGTGCTGCAGAATTCAAAGAGGTACAAACGGAAGGCGAAAGGGAGAAATGTGCCAAGGGAAGGGTGCGCCAAGACAACCCTCAATGTGGGAGAACATGTGGATGAAGAATAGGGCTCCACAGCCACCTATGGACCTGTCCCCAAGACACAACACTTGGAGGACCATCATCCTCGGGCTACAAGGGATTGCCTAAGTAAGTAAATCAGCAGTGGAACTCTCTGCCCGGAGTGTGGTGGAGGCTCCTTCTTTGGAGGCTTGTAAACAGAGGCTGGATGGCCATCTGTCAGGGATGCTTTGATTGTGATTTTCCTGCTTTTTCGTGGGGGTTGATGGCCCACAAGTTCTCCTCCGACTATGAAAAGATAGAAAGGAACCTCTTTTGCACAGAAGGAAAGCTTCTTGGGGAAGAGAGCAATGAGAGGCTTCTACAGCCCTTTCTATGTCCAGGGAGGGGTCTTTCCTTTCCCCTGGGGTGGCATACAGGGGGGTCTCCTCTTCCTCCCCATCCCCCGGACCAGCCCTCCCGCAAACGCCGCCCC